CATGCTGTGGAAGAGTTCGGGTCTTAGGAGGTTAAATGAAACAAATTAACGTGTAAATGTAACAAATTAACATGTAAATGTAAGTTAAAATGTATAAATGAAGCAAAACAACTCATTTGGCATCATTTTGGCTTTTTCCTCTTTGCTTACAGACGGAAATCAAAAGAAAATTTCCTTCCTTCTGTTTTTGGTGGATTACATTACAAATATAAAAATGACAGTGAAATAATATTTGACGGTAACTTAGTTTTTGCAGCAGACCACTTCAATTTAATAAAAGTATGTCTTAATATTTATGCTTACCACATATAGATGCAACACCAGTATAATACTAATGTACTACCCTGTGCTACTACCTATAATAAGTACATTAATAAGCAGTAATATTTCAATACGGATGTACTAAATGTTCGATTTTGTCTTGACTATCCAAATATTAGTATTTAAGTTTGGTTTTTTTTAATGCACATTAAGTTTGAAATTCATCGCACCAGGTCGCCTATGAGGGGAATCAGGAAAGTGAAAGTAAGACAGGGAATGTAACTTGACCAATCATCGTTTTGTTAGTGGTCTTTATGTTCTGTTTCTATCACTGAATGCATTAATGATGACTTATTGTTATTATTGTTGATTTATTGTTAATAGAAGCTGAAAACAGTCTGATTGACTGCATTCTTCCTTAGAACTTTAAATCAAAACAGAAACATTTGAAAGTTTAGAAAAAATCAATTTCTGATGTTTAACACAACCATTGTTAGCTGTTCCCCTCTCAGCCATGACATTCACAAATGCAAAGATATCTAAACATACCCGATACACCAACTATGTTGAGAAATCCCTACTTAATTTATACGAGTTATTTAACATAAAAACTGTAAATATTGTAAGGAATGAAGACAAATTGAATGCAGTGGTTAAACAAAGAGTGATGAAGGTCAAAAGAGTAACAGCACTCACCATTTGTAGAACTCTGTGCGGCTGCAGCTTTATTGGTGATCAAATATGATTTGATTACAAACGATTGATCAATAAATTCCAGGTATGACGAAAAAAATCTGTCAGCAAAAGCTGAGTCTTGAGTCAGATAGTTGAGTCTTCTAGGACTCAAACTAAAAAGAGAAGATGTAAAAGAAGAAAACGGAGCCAGCAAATAAAGGATGAAAAGGCTCTCTACTGACATCTGGTGGTAAAACATCAGCACAACACATCTCAGTTTCTAACTGCCTATTTGGAAATGTAAGTTATATTAAAGTCATCTTACACCTGGAAAAAAAAAAAGCTTTTTCTGGTTTAGATTTCTGATTGAACCTGATTGAACTCAGGAGTAAGTGAATATACAACAGCCCGTATAAATTAGCCCGACTTAAATTAGCCGTTAAAATAAAAAAAGACCGCCTTGAAAAAAGTGCAGCTTCACAGCATTGCCTTATTCCAAAAAGAACATTTAATTGCACGTAAGAGATCAGAGGCAACAGTGATGAAGAGCTGTAACACCCCAGAATGAGCAAAACAAAAGTTGGATGAGAAAGTCTTTAAGAGGTCTCAAACATCTTCTTCCTGTCAGCCTTGTCCTCAATGTTCTTGCGCCAGTCGCCCACCACCTCAGCAGACTGCAGGACACAAACACAGCCCACCGTCAGCAACAGTTAACTGCTTTTAGCTCTCTTAAACAATCAGCCTGCAAACACTCACCTCATCCTTCACCTCCTTCTTGACCTGCTTCAGGTTGGCCCTGAGGTCCATGTTTACCGTGTGTTTGGAGCCCAGCAGAGCTTTAAGCATGGCGTCGGCACTCATACGCACTTTCTTCAAGGCAGGTTTCTTCACTCCGGCCAGCTCGATGACCTTCATCTTCAGTTCATTGATCTGAAGTCAAAAGGAGAAGCTCAAAGGCTGAACAGAGCAGATAAACACAGACC